GTTTAGACTTTTGATGCCAAAAGCCACACGTCTGGCTTTATGACGTGCACATTTCATCTACAGGAGAGGCTCTTAAATGAGTAAATGGCATACAGAAACATATAATACACAAGCTCAGCGTGATGAAACATTAATAAAACACACCACAGAGGTGTTTGGACCAAACAGCACTGAGGACTCCCTGAAGGTAGCTGCCCAATGAGATGCTCTCAGATAACCACATACTTCAAGTGATACAACAAAGAGACAATAACAAGTATTGGTTGTTTTGTGATAACAATATGGTTAGAGAGCAGAGGTGTAAATGTAGACTGTCTTGTGAAAAGTAACATTTGTGTTTTATTAATCATAATTAATGCAACATTACAGTTGCTTATGTGTTGGGGGTTATCTACCAACTGGAATGTCAGTGCTTTGAACCTCAGCTTCTCAAGGGAACACTTCTTTACTGAGAGTAGCTCCAGGTGCATCAGTCAGTGAGTGGGTGTGATTAAACAAAATTTAAAAAGTGCATAGAATAAAGAGCAATATGGATGTGTTCGTGAATTGTTGAATGTGTTGTGTAGTGTGGAAAGTCTTTGAACACCCAATAAATGTCTAAGAATCTCCCATTGGCTCATTCGGGCCTTTTCACTTGAATGGGTTGAATTAGGTATTCAAGCAATCAATTACTTGGTTACTTTAAAAAGGTTTACTGTTGAAATGACTAAATGTATTAAAAAAAGGTTTAAAGCATTTTTCAGCCTCTTCCGGTGGTTCAGTCTTCCTCCACCTTCTTGGTTAGCAGCTGCATAGTGAAGTGTATCCAGTGCTGTGATGTTGTGACGATACATGTTAGTGTAACCAGCACAACAGCGGAGAATATCACCTCTATTAAAATTCAGTACAGTAGTGGTGTATAAACACACAGAGCCTGAAAAGTGATGAGTGAAGAAGAAATCAAGCATCAAGGGAAGCATCTCAGAGGTCTATTGCACCACAGCAGGGGATTCAAAAAAGACTCATTTTAATCCTAAAGACCAAATCCAACTCAACTCAATTCACTTGTATTCATGAAGTGCTGCATCACATCAACAGTTGCCCCTACAATCATACAACTATAATCCAAACTGGGGGCTGGTTCCATAGTGGAGGGGCCTGATAGCTGAAGCCTCTCATTGTGCTTTAGGAAACTGTAGGAAGCACATGTAAGCCTGCAGTGTTCTGCATGACGTGAAGGAGTTTTAGGGCGATTGTCAGGTTTGATAAATGAGAACACCACACGCAGACTCATAAGCAGGTGGGGCTCAAATGAGAATAACCTTCTGTTGAAGGCGGGGCTGAAATCCAGGTGATAACATGATAATGTTACTGCAGACACGTCTGAATAAATGAAGCTGGATATGAGCTGCATAGCAATGACAGTGTATGCCATCTTTTTAACACTACTATGTGAAATCACATTACAATCACATTATTGATACAGTGATGTCCTTATACGTGCATTCTTCAGTCATTTAGACAATAGACGTATAACCTAACATACAGTTTGTAGCAATAAAAAGCAGTACGGCATTAACACTGACTGTATGCCAACCACAGCCAACAAGTACCTGCAACAGAGACGAGCAATCAGGCTGCCTTTCAGTTCAATTCATGACTCAACAAAATTAAACACTAACAATCAGATAATTACCTATGAGCAAGCACCAGGAAAAACATCCAGCAGAAGCAGGCTAATGGTGGAGCAGCCATCTGCCTCGAGTTAGGAGTAAAGGGAAGGGAAAAGAGAAGAAGGTTGTAAGGAGAAAGAAAACATCCACACTACAGGAGAAAGAAGAAAAAAGCATTGCAGGCTCCATTTCTTCATTACTGCTACAGGGACTTATATCTAATAAGATTAACCCCAGTTATACCTCAGCTTTCATAAGAGAATGCAGCCACAGATACATCTGCAGCACAGGGCTTTACAGAATTTAAAGCATCTGCAGCGTCGTTTAACAGAGTAGTTTATGGATAAAATAAATACATAAAAACAGTGCATACAGGATCATGGAGCCACTGAGTTGCTCCCCATATGGAAAAGAAATAGAATAAACGTATAAAAAACTTGCATCAGATGTGGCCTTCTTCATATAGTGACTCATATAAGGCTGATATGATTTACTCATGAAAGTGGC